TCACCCAAGAGAATTTGCCAGCTCTTCTTGGTTTTGCAGACTTGCACATGGGTTGTACATATGTAATAATATTAGTAATTGAATGTGTTCAAAAGTGTCTTTTGAGTGATCAACAATCATGCCAAATTTTTACTTTCTGATACAGTTTTAATATAACATTACGTACATAAAGTTTAATATATTTGTAGAAATTTTTGTAGAAAATGTAGAATAAATGTAAGTTTTGCAAAGATAAAGATATGAGAGCAATATAGATAAATGTTTTAAACAAATAAAGAGCTATACTTCAATTTTAATAAAATGTTGTTAGTGACGTATTAAAACTTGAATTAAATTTGTTAATTGAACCTGCTTTCAACCTGCTAACAAATTACACTCTAGCATTCATGATTCTCAACAAAACTGTCTTCATACAAGTCAACCATATATTCTGCAGTGTGCTAGAATGCTGCAGTTGGAACCTGCATATCTCCTCTTCTCATCGGCATTTTTTGTATATGAACCTGACTTTCAACACTCTCTTTCTATCTTTCTCTTTCTATCTTTCTCTTTCTATCTTTCTATCTTTCTATCTTTCTATCTTTCTATCTTTCTATCTTTCTATCTCTGCTCAGACTTACTCATCTTCTATCTCTTCTTTCACTCTTATGTACTATCTCTCTCTCTTTCTCTTATCTAATCTGCTCTTCTGTTCTCTTTCTATCTCTCTCGATCATTCCTCTTTCTATCGTCTCGTCCTCTTTACCTCTTTCATTATCTCTCTCATCTCTTCTTCTTTTCTATCTCTCTCTCTTTTTCTCTTTCTATTTCTCATCCTTTCGTTAGATCTTTCTACTTTCATATCTCTCTATCTATTCTTTTCTCTTTCTATCTCTCTCGTCTTTCTTTCTCTTTCTATCTCTCCTCTCTCGGTTTCTTTCTCTTTGACTAATCTCTCGAGTCTAAAACTTTTCATTGTACATCATTTCTTATCGCTCTGCTCTCTTTCTTTTCTCTATTCTATCATATCTCTCTCTTTATCTTTCTCTTTTACTATCTCTATCTTCTCTCTTGATCTTTCTCTTCTAATCTCTCTCTCTCTTGTATCTTTCTCTTTCATATTGTCTCTCTGTCTCTTTCTTTCTCTTTCTAATTCTCTCGTCCTCTATTCTTTCTCTTTCTATTTCTCTCTCTCTACTTTCATATCTCTTATAAATAAATAATATACATAGCCTAGTTATATTATAAGTCTTTGAAAATTTTTTATTTAGAAATCTGTTTCAATCCAATAATCTATAAATGTAAGAAAATATTCTCTTTAAGTTGCTCTCTGTCCTTTATTTAACCACTTATAGATTAGTTACTATTATATATATATTTTTTCTATTTCTATTCTTCTCTTCTTTTTTCTCTTTCTATTTCTCTCTCTCTTTATTTTCTCTTTCTATTTTTTGCGATCTCCGAATCATTATCTTTCCTTCTTTCTAATTATGCTCTCTCAATCTTGGGGGGTGGGGATAATGTATCTCTCTTCTATTTTCTCTCTCTCTTTTCCTTTCTCTTTCGTAATTTCTCTCTCACTTTCTTTCCTTCTTTCTATTTCTCTCTTCTTTCTTTGGCTCTTCACCTAAATTTCTCTACGTCTTCTTTTCTCTTTCTCTCTTGTTTTTTTCTATTTCTCAATCAATAAATCTTTCTCCTTCTTTTCTGGTTTCTCTCTCTCTTTCTCTCTCTCTCTTTCTCTCTCTTTCTCTCTCTCTCTTTCTATCTTTCTTTCTCTCTCTCTCTCTCTCTTTCTATCTCTCTTTCGCTCACTCGCTCTCTGGAAGAACTAGAAGAATGGTTTAACGAGAATTATGGCGTTTATCCATAAAAATTTCAAACAATACTGTTGGTGATATACTCCCATATTTATTATTTTATGACAGAAATCCTGCCTGTACAGAGGTTTTCTTGATTATATCAAAACTGATTTTCTGTATTACGTCCTTCAAGTCGATTCCTCAATTATATTTACTCCATAGATATTAGTTGCTAGATGTGCTGCAGAATTAGCATTTTACTTATAGAAAATTATTCGGCTGTCCTTATCTACCACAGAATGTAATTTTCTCCTTCAACACTTGCTTAGTAGGGAAAATTTTCAACACTTTCTCCTTCTTGTCAAGTGGTTTTTGTTTACTTTGTCTTGCTTCTTGGTGGATGGTTCTTTGGTATTTGGTTCTGTCTTATTGTACTAATCTGTACCACTGTACCTCTTACTGTACTTATGTGTACTTTAAGTTGATTAAGAAGTTAACACTTGTGAAAAAAATAGAAATGATATAGCAGGTTTTTCACTTCAGGTGTCATACTGTTTCTCATTTCTACTAGTGGAGTGTTTATTTGCCAAATGTTATGTGTATCTCAGAATTAGCTGTTCTAGACTTTTCCTGATTTATTTCGAAGTCTTCTAAGTATCCTGTAGGAGTCTGCAAGGACCAAACTTTGTACCCGAAGCCCAGAGGCTTTATGCGAATGTAGTTTGACTGTGCTGCCAAAATACCTCACCATACTTTTGTCATAGAACAAATTATTTATGCTGAGAAATATTTTGAAAATCTGAAGTTCCTAGGGCCTAACAATGATCTGATTTTCCAAAGTTTATCTTTATTGGTAGGATTGAAATCATTATTTATCTATTGCCATTTAATAAGACTGTCTGGAATACCACTGTCATCCGCATCCCCAGATTCTTCAGATTAATACTAGAATCTAGTGGAGCAAACTGCTTCAACATGTGTCCTCAAATAATATATCAAAGGCTTTTTGAAACCTTGGTGCAAAACCTTTATAAAATTCTCTGAAAGTATAATCATAACCAACAAAACTAATAATTTGTACAAGTATTAGTTTTCAAAAATGTGTATTAATTTGGTTACTTTTAAAAAAATGCAAGACACATAATGAAATAAACAAAACTTTATATTGTATTGACACAACAATACATTATATTGAACCCATTTAAATTAGCATGTGAATGAATATTTGATAAACTCTAAAAATATTTTCTTCTTTTAAATTAATATGAGTAATAATAATTACAATAATAATTGGGAAAATGTGTAAACTTTACTAGCATTTCTTCAAAAGACCGAAAATGAAATATAAATTTAAATACTCTTCTTAGAGCATAGCGTTATCATAAATGGTACTGTGAATCTTTAAAGAATAGAAGTTCTTTTCTGTCAATTATATGTAATTCATTGAATGAAACAGCTGGTTATTAAGTCTTGTAAAATATTATTACAAAGTGTGTTTACCTAATTAATTTTGACATAATTCTCACTCTTTATCTATATTATCTCGAATGAAATAAACAAAAAATATCTTTTACAAAAACTTAAGTTTTTCTTGGCCCTTACAATGGATTGGTGCAATTGATCTAAAAACTCTGAATCTGTGGAAATTTAAGAAAAGCATGGAACAAATTTTATCTAATCCATTTCAGCAACTAAACATGCTCGAATTCAAACAGTGATTTCTGTATGATGATGATGATGTAAACTGCTGTTTTTTTTTCCCAAAAATATTACTGAAGAATTTATTCTGAATTTGATCTGTTCCATCGCTTGGAGTTTTAAAAAATATTTCATAAAGAAGGTGATAGTGAATGTTTATTGTTAATCAGCAATTTCTCAATTGCTTGTAAAATTGAATTTCTAAAGACTTTTCTGAGAATCATATCGTGGCTTTTGAATTATAGGTAAATATTATATTAATAACTAATTTTTTAATACAATTTTTATTAGCTGTTAAATATAAGTAATGCAAAATGTCCTACTCTATGTATTCAAGAACTTTCACACATGAAAACCTCAGTGGTATTAAAATTTCTGTGATTTGTATTAAGAAATTTTGTAGTGCATCCAGGTTACATTAACAAGTATTTCTTCTTTTGTTTTTTTTGCAGGGGATCGTGAAGTGAACAGAAAATGGGGAGAAAGATGTACTGGCTGTTTGACTCAATTGTTGGAAATTCCATTGATATTTTTATTTGCTAATTTTGTTACTTCTTTAATAAATTATTTTGATTATAATTTCCATTGTGCCTTTCCTCATATTTGGAAAGTTAACAAAGGATCCATAAAGCCCAGACTTACCCAAAATGTTGTCTTAAAAGTAGACATTCATTTTGCCATTTCAGTGTTTGGTGTGGTATATAACTATGGTAAAATACTTCTTGTTCCTTAAATATCCTTAAATAAAGTTGTTTTTACTATAGAATTGTGTAATATTTTTCTTGTTGAAAATTTACTTTTTAATAGCCACGTCGAAAAAGATCGAGCTTCTCGAGAAAGATCAGCATTTACTACAGATCCAGCAGTATCTGAAGCTGTGGCGGGCCAAGGTCAATGTAAGAGTGCACCCCGACTACACTTACGGGCACTTCACACCGCGACAGCGATTCATACAGCGGCTTGCTCGCGCTATGCGGAGACGCAATTGAGTGGGCCAAAAATGTAAAATACTTAAGTGTCACACTAGATAGCCTACTTTTAATCTGCATATCGAAAATGTTCAGAAAAAATGTGCGAGAGACCAAAGGCAAATTGCGAAGCTTGTTTCACAAGCAGAGCAAACTGCCTCACTTTTTGTGAAGCAATTATTAGGCCGCATTTTGACCACGCATGGCCCAGATGGGCGGTTGCAGCAATCACTCAGTTGAATAATCTGCAAATAGTTCAAAACGAATGCCTCAGGGCCGCCCTCTGCGCCCCTACATTCCAATCGAAAATGTACATCGCGATTTATCAATGCCACTGCTTATTGATATAAAAAAAGTATTGCACCTAAAATATTTGAAAAAGCAGATGACTTGGAAAACTCATTTCCGGGATAGTCTCATGCCAACACGATCAACCGGAAGTATAGGCGCCCGAAGCTCTTCCTCGAGTAATGTGAAATATAAAATATATCGTATACTTTCTAAGCAACCTCTTCTTTTACAGAAATTTATGAACACTGAATTGTTTGAAACAATGCCAAAACAAGTCACAATACTACCAGTGCTAAGAGATGGTCAGTCTATAAAAATTCTGAATCGGCTACTCAGGAGCGAGAGCGACTTGCTGAAGAATACACTCGCACCACTAAAAATATACTACAAGGAGGGAAGCAAATAAAATTTCAATTAGCAATTCAAATGTGTACGAATGCAATAAAGCCACATAAATGAGATGCCTACGATACTTTTTTTGTATAAGTAAATTCATTAGAGAATCAAACTTAACTTTGCGAAACAACTTTCTTTTGATGTCTCGGGTATTTGGCATCTGTGGGAGAAAGCGATAATCTGCTGTTCCGTTTAACTATACCTTCCCATGATTTTCTCCTGCGATTGGCTGAATGAGTTTTGACGCAATCTAATTTGTCAACATTTGTGCCGTAAAATGTTCAATTATGAACGATTTCATGCAACAGAAAAGGGCATGTATAATGCTGTTATACAAAACACAGATTACCAGGGAGTTGTTTAAGAATGAGAACGGAAAGATGAATAGGAGAGGTTGTTTAAAATGTATTACTTAGTGATTATGAATAAATTGGCTGTGTATAATTATTTATTGAACACCAATAAAGAGAAGTGACCAACATATTCAGAGATAAGTAAGGTAAATGATGCAAATACGGCCAGTGTAGGAAATAGCGGCTATGTTGTTAGCTGAAAATGCTTACCATAGATAGTACTAGCATGCTGTATGGAAGAGCGTAAGAAGTGAGTTAGCCCCCTACCAGGCGTGTTGGATCGCGCATTCGCACTCTGGAGCCTCCGTTGTCAAGAACGCGCTGAACGCGATCTGTCCTGATAATATATATGGATTACCCTTACAGTCTAATTTTATGAATGTGAAATGATTTCCGTAACGTAAGGATTGCGGGGTTAATCATTACAAATTCAGTATTTTCTACAATGATATTTTATTACACAAAATTGAAAACGTCCGTAATTGCTTGGAAACTTACAAAAATAAAAAAAAGCATAATTGTTTAATCAGTTTGACATTGAGGAAAATGAAAATTTCTTTGTCTTTAATAGCTAGTCCTACTGTTTCATCGTGTACATATTTCCCCCCCACACACACTGCATCGATTCATGTCAACTGCGTACTCACAGCAATCATGACAAAACCAGCTTTCCCCATTTTTCTCTGCAGGATTTGTTTCCTCCAGGGTTTACATCTTTTGTTGGGTTTTCTTCGTGAACACGTGTTTCTCCTTGTCAGGATTCTCTTTATTCTTTGTATTTGCCGGCTGATCCACTTTATTATTTTATCTGGAAATTGATGGATTGTTTTGTACAACGCCTGACGTATGAGTTGAAAATAAATCCTTTTTAAAACCATAGCGCGAGAGTTGATTGATATAGAAATCAATGTAGCCGTAAGTGCCCATCATCCTTGACCACATTGAGAACAAAATATGTTATAAAATACGTTGGTGAAATATTGAGCAAATTTAACGGCATTAATTTGATTAGATTGCTCATTAAAAGCGCTAAGGGTTGATGTATATTGTAGAAATACTAAAATATTCATTCAGTGAAACCAATGATAAAATTACCTGGAAAGAAAGCTAGCCCTAGTTCCATAGTCACGCTCCTAGAAACCAGTTAATCTGGCAATGGCGATAAAACCGACGTGTGGGCCTATTACCTTCACATTACAATGATTTTGCAAAACGACAACGAAACATTCCTGAATCATTTTTTTGTGATATAGCTATTTATACTTGAAGCAAAAGTGTTAAATTTCATCATGATGTGGTGATGTTAAATTGGCAAAATGTAATATATAAACAGAAAATTTTGAAGCGCTTAACGTGGCCATATTATCTTCACGTACCTTATTAAATATTTTCTTCTTTCTCGCACTTACTGACGTCAAGAAAGTATTGTAATATTGTGCCGGAAAACGGCGTATTTTCGGCAGAAAAACACATATTGCCGGGCCCTGGTAACAAAAAAGTGGAAATATCTTGTATAACGGGAAAACGTCTATTTGTCCGTCCATGTCCGCCTGTTCGGCCGGCCGCCTGGCGTCTAAGCCGTTCAGCAGATTTTTTCTAACATTTATATTCCTCCAATTTAAATAAACTCAAGGACCTCTGAATTTCAAACACATATTTAAATTTTGGAGGTTCTTTACATGAGGCGTCAACAACATAGTAAATATTTTCTCAAAAATAGCCCCAAATTTGCTGAATAAACATGGCCCTAGCATAACGTAGAGCAGAAATGGCCAACTGGCGGTCCGCGACCTTGTTTCAGCGGTTTCGCACTTTAAAATATTAGGTTAATACTCTGTCTGACAAAAAAAAAGTGATGCACCCAGGAGTGGTTCAATATTATCCCGTTTCGGTACAAATGCATTCTACTGATGTGTGAGTAAATTATTAGATTAATACGTACCTGTAATGTGTAGAACGTCCACCAGAGTGCATTCGTGATGTCACCTCCCTGTTGTTGCGCTATTGTTATCAGTCAATTGTTATGAGTCAGATAGTGAAGAACAACGTTTACGTACAGTACGAAAACTCGCATTGCCGCGCAGACGTGTTCGACACCCTAGCAGCAACTGACTGCATTTGACAGAGGCCGCAATACAGACCTTCGCGAGGCTGGTTGGTCGTACTGTGCATCTGCTAGGCATGTGGGCCATTCAGATGTCGCAGGGTTGGAATCACTGGAACATGAGGGCACCCATGCACGTCATACCGGCTTGGGTCGACCAAGAATCACTACCCGGAGAGAGGGCCGTCGTATGGGGCGCCGATCAGTACGGATCTCTTGACGTCGGCACAGGCCACCCGCAGACATGTACTGGCGACTCTACAACATCCTGTGAGTTCCGGCACAGTGGCTCCGCCGGATTGGGTCCTGGTTGCCGTTGACATCAAAACACCGACGTCATCGTTTGGATTGGTGCCGTGCGCAGGAGACACGGGCAGAGGACGAATGGCGTCTCAGCATGTTCAGTAACGAGTCCCGCTTCGTCATTACCGATGACGAGCGTGTCTGGGTGTGGCGGCGTGAAGGGCAGAGGGCGCATCCTGTCCATATTGGGGAGAGATGCACCGGCGTAACCCCGGGCATCATGGTGTGGGGAGCCATCGGATGTGCGTTCAAATCACATATCATAGTGCTTGGGCAGACTATGACGGCCCAGTGATACGTCACTGACATTCTGCGTCCGCACGTCCCACCATTATGGCGCGTGGAACACCGTGGGACAGTGTTCCAACAAGATAATGCACACGCGCTGTATACTTCCTAGAGCACATGGAGGTCCTCCCGTGGCCAGCAAGATCCCCGGACCTCTGCACTATTGAACGCGAATGGGATGACTGGAAGGTGACTCAGTCGCAGTGCCAACCATCTGAAGCTGGAGGAACAGTAGTGGACGAACGTACTTCAAGAGAGGATGCAAAGGAGTGACACCATTCCAAATCGCATAAAAGCATGCTTTGCAGCCAGAGGAGTGCGACGCCCCATTGACCTGGCGCCAACTTTCTACCTGAAACTGCCAACGGCCCCATCTTTTTCATCCCATATTGTAATAATTTCAATAAAGTCACATAGGCTTTTAGCATATGTAGTTTTATTTACTTCCAACCAGTCCTTCTGAGAGCTTCACTTTTCTGTCAGACAGTGTACTTTATTCTTCAAGCAAATACGCAGGCTTTGTTTTGTAAATCTGTTGGAGATCAAGCAATGTATCTATCTGTTGTCTAATATATAGAATTGAGGAAGGATTTACGGAAGTACGCTGGTTAAGCATAGGAAACTACTGAAAACTATTCCTTTCTTTGATAAACAACCGAATCGCTCAATGTACTCGTCGTATGTGTCAAAACACCTACTTTATGGGAAATGAAAGCTTCTTGATTCACAATATTATGTAACGTAGCTATACATAACCCAGCACTTGAATGAGCTGAGCTTACTGGGTTGGAGGGTGGAAATCAAGCCATACCTGAGTTAGCAAGGCATTTAGACAGATTTGCAAGTCGACTGAAACTTTTCAAATCGACCCTCGATAAATAGAAATCTAATTCATTTTAGCACATGCTATCATGAAAGAAATCATTTCTATCATGGAAGAAAACTCAGCGGAGATTTCAGCTTTTGTAATTCAACTTTAAATATGAATTTGGAGTCATTCAATTAAACGAGACCTCATAACTTTTTACTTTCTCGCTACTGCTTACGCAGTAGATGTGGTGCTAAACAGCATGTACTCTCTTGCTCGTATTTTCACGGACAATTACGCAAAAAGTACTCAAATTCTCGAATACTTGTTGATGGCCTTATTTTAAAATCTATTTTTAAGGAACAGATTTAAGACACAAGCCACACACAAACAAGACATTTGCACCGTTCCTTTTAATGATCTTCACACTATCCAACAAAAAAATTTATTCAAAAATGATAGAGACATTTTTAAATTCACAAAATGTTGCAGGTGCTCCATGCAAATTACTCATATTGCATACAATATTGCGCGAAAACTAGTTGAATCGAATGAAACGTCATGTAAGAACTAATAATGGAAAAAAATTGAAGGAAAAATCTCTATCTTCAATTTTGTAGTTGTAGCAAGACGGCGAAAAAATTCAAATATTTACATTTTTCAAAAATTCAGAGTTGACAGTGAAAATTATTTATATGCGACTTACGTAACTGCACTTCTCTCCATTCTTCCAAGAAATTTAAAGAAAGAATCCGGAGCCTTTTTTAAGTCAGAGCAGATTAACAGGGGTTTATTCAGTTTGCAAGAAATTCTGCGTATTGTTTAGGCGCTATACGGCGATTTATGCAACTCTGCTCTGGCAGGTATCAGCTGTTGACGGTTTCACCCAAACGGAAACATGAACAGCACATAGTGACTTCACCATGGTGACATTCAAGCTCCCGATTGGATGAAATTGTCAACAGCTGATACATGCCAGGGGTATAGTGGCGAAAATCGCAGTATAGTATTGTTCAAATACAAGACAGACAGACTGTCAGAGGACAGTCAAACGGACTTTTTGAAAAAAATCTTTTTTCGGTATCATGGGACCTCAAAACGTGTATATTCTTTGAAATCTCGAAATCGATTTTTCGCAGCCTTACGTAACTTTGTCTGTACTATGTACGAGTATATTACTCCGTAGACACGTACCCAAAGCGAATGCTAAGCGGCCTTGGTGTGTAGGGGGGAGAGCCACCTGCGCCTGAGTCCTCTCTTCCAGCTGGGCCGCCGCATCCGATCACATTGTAAAAAAACGTTTGTTAAAGAATTAAAACACAATAATGTTCGAAATCGATATAGCGTACATTATCCAAACCCACTTTATTTCGCGGTTTATTATTATATTTCTGGATTCAAAATCGTAATGATAGTATTTCTAACCGTTGAACCGTTAAATGAAGAATTTTGAAACACCATTGTTAACTTTTTCCTTCACGTATTTAATGAACAAAATGTATTAAATATGTTGACACCGTAGTAATTTTTGTAATGCACCGTATGTGTGTGCAGTCATTACAGTCAAATTGCAGTGCATGTATTTGTTCAACGCATACGGTTCTCATCATTAGCGGTTCCCACTGCGAAAATGGCCGAGATGTTTGGGGCTGTTGAAGTTAACACATAATTAAGGTTAATATAGTTTGAATCACTTCGAAAAGTGCTAGTTTAACATTTGCTATATGTTTTTAATGAATGGTAAGGAGCGTGTTTTTATTTATATAATATTTTACCAGAATGCTGAATTTTTTCTGAAAAAACTGTATTTGTAAAAAAATCTATACAAAGTGTGGAGATTTAAATAAAGATTTCGTAAAAATAACTTAAGAGACCTTGAGGAAATCAGAGTAGGTCATAATCTGATAGTAATATTATGTAAAAAAATAAAGAAAATTGTAGTTATCTATTAAAATTTGAACAAATTAAATTAAAAATAATAACCTTAAATGCCGTGGATTATATTAAACTGATCTTTTTCCTATTTCACAAGGGTTTTATTATGAAGAAAGTCTGGCCAACGCCAGGTATTTTGCTAAAGCCAGAAATAAATTAATTTGCGACCAGAAATTTTATATGGATTCGATTTAGGCTATCATTTCATAAAAGGAAGGCAAAATAAGTGATTGTACGTCTTCAAAAACCCTGTGAGAATTGCTTGGTATTAGCAACGTTTGATCACGAATTCTTCTTATTCATGTCAGGTGTATGGATTTTCGTTTGGTAGAAAGGTAATTATTTAAGGTTGCTAAATATGAAGATGGATAGAAAATACTTACCAATTACACCGTTTCAAGTAAAAATATTATATATATTTATATTAGTAACGTCTCACTATCGTCGACTACTTAACCCATTTGGGGAAAATTTAGTCATAACCACTTTTAACTGCCATACTGTAAACCGTTCTCGTATTCACATTGGCGAAATACTTCACTGTTCATTCAAATTGAATAACAACTGATTTTCGCAGTGCCTGTTATTGGTTTAATACTTGAAAAGTTGAATTCACTTTTTACTCGAGGAACGCGCTGTATACAACCGCTCAGCCCCAGGCTCAATGCTTGCAGGCCTCTTCATTCAAGTATATATCAGTGAAAGCAATTATTCTGTGGTTGTTAATATTTCAATCGTGACAAGGCATTTTGCTTTGGCCTTTCTCTTATATCATTACCTTATTCCTGAGATCGTTCTTTTTAGGATTTTTTCTTTGTGGTCAAGTAAAACGTTTTGGCCATAAGCCATTGTGGGGATGATACATTCTCATTTGCAGTAAACCACTGTGTGTTGTGTGACGCCCCAACTGCATATAGTGGATGCGTGTGCTCCGGAGGGATGCAAAGAGCTTGCTCTGGGAAAAGTGTGCATGGGTGCACACACCCCGCGGGGGGCCGCAATACATGTCATGTGTAGATTTTCGTTTAGGCCCCGTTCCTGAGCTTCCGCTCTTACCAGGGCATTGCTCCGAGTTCTCGATGTGCACAATAATTACTTTGTCTGTTCTGTAAGCGTCGCAATACAGTATATATTTATTTATTTGGCATTGGAGGAAGCAACGTCAAACTTGGAAAGCCGTCCTGATCCATCAGAGCAGCAGAAGTTATACAGGTCGAGACGGCACAACCTCCTTTGGACAAAAAGGCGCTTCTTTCCCAAGGCGAACACGCGCACGCACAATGCACGCGTGATTCCACCCGGGGGGGAGGGGGAGCTGAAGGCAACAAGCCACGCCGCCTCGACAACGAGTCAATTCGCCTCCGCCCAGTTTCCCGGAAACCCCGTTGGCAGTAGGTGACTGCAGAGGACGACCGCACGGAGCGCTGTCAGGAGTAAAGCGCTGCATGCGGTAAAGACTTTAAACTTCTTACGTTGAGCAGTGTAGAATTGACGAAATTAGTTTCTTTGACACTTTTAAATAGGAAACTTTAAATTTAGTTTGTTTAGAAATATTCTGTAAAATCTAGTTTTAAAGTGTGAAAATTTCATGTTTGTTTTTGGTCTTCCTAAAGAGATATTTAAATTTTGTAAAATCCAAACTACTAATTTTCAAGAATGTATTATTTAAGTAGTGAAGTAGCTTCTTAGCAATTATATTTTACATAAAGTAACCACACTATTATGAATAAAGGCCCAAAAAGAATCAAGGTCGGCCTCATAAGAATAGAAAAATTAATTTTGAAAAATTATTCTAATAAAATCGAAATTTGCTCATTTCGCGGTTGATAGATTTGATCGCAAATTTTACCCATAGACTCATATATTAAGAAGAATAATATCACTTTGTATGTCAGTTTTTATTGACTCCAATGCGTTTTAGTTAGTAATTTAACAAAAACGTAAATGCTACAAACGCTATAAATTGCGCGGATTAAAACACAAAACACAAACGTGAAATGTGAACCACTAACAATTTCTTTACAAACGATTTTCAATAACCAAAACAAAGATATTTATATACGAAGTGTACATTTCCCCTGTGATGCTGATGCGACAAATTTATTTAATTCTGGTCCACTTAAAATGGAATGACCAGTTATTATAGATTATCAAAATGTCTTTGGAAGATTTTCAACTTTAAATGCGATTTAAAGCGCTGAAAAAGTATACCTAGATTTGCCTCCAGCATGTGTACATTGCGCTTGATTCAAGATGCAAACAGAGTTTTTGAAGCAGCTTAATTAGCGTTTGGGCGCGCGTGTACCGCCCACAACTCTTCACCGGAAGCTCCTGTTCGTGTCCCGACGGTAGCGAATCGTCCTCATTTTGCGGCTAACGAGGCCAAGTCACCCGCTGTCTCGGGAAGAATCCTTTCAGCCGCTGCTCTTAATCGCTTCTCCCGAGTTTCTCTGATCGAAACCCGGCAAGTGGCGAGCAGGACCCTGCCACGGCCACGGGGGGGGGGGCTCTATCATTCCTCTCTCTCCCCAGCCCTTACACACACACTCGCATGCAGCACAGGGTCACACATGTGGGAGACCAATTGGGAGCTTAGTGCGTGACTCAGCTGAAGCGGGAGCCCACTCTTTCCCTTGATATAACATTCACTACCCTACGCGACGCGCCTGGAACTCCAATCATTTATTCAGAGGAGATGAAAGAGCTTCTCTGGCTACGAACCTTAACAAGTCGTATTCGCAGTGTGCTCATATCAAATGGATCCTATTTTCAGTTATGTCAAACTGAAACGCTTTTGACTGGGAATTTGGAAACTTTCTGTCTTGGTCTGGAAACAAGATGACGGCAGTTGGTAGCATAATTATTCTTGAAGATCGTGTTTCCATGTTCCATGAATCTGTTTGTGTTCCAGAATCGTGCTTCTGTGCACTGCTGCTGCAGTCGCAGCCATTGGCTGCTTTCTCTATGCGTCGCTCCTCCCTGCCGCCGCCGACGTAAATATCGCTAAAGCAGAAAGCAGAAGTTCATTGGCGCACTGCCTCGCTTACCTCGTTCCAGTTCTCGTTCTTTTTGTAGATAAAATTTTAAGTTTGTACTTCCGGTTCCAAAAGTTGAATTCTCATGTGACTCTTTTCGTTCATTGTGACGTACGTTCACACGCTTTTACTAATGATTCTGCTTCTTACTTCAAGTCGCCTTCCAAAATGTTGAACATGAAGCATATCTCTCAATCATTTCTATTTAATGAGTTCCAAGCAAGAACGGTTTAAAGCGCGCAAAAAGTGACCATTAAACACAATTATAACACAATGTATATTAGACAAGCCACCTGTGCCGAGAGGTCAACGTACATTAGATAGTGGAAAGAGAATGGTAAATGGAACCACACTCAACACGTTAGTATGAAGCAAACTATTTGAACTGGTGCAGTTATTTCATCTTGAACAAATCATTGATTTAAAACTAAAACAGCCTCACACTGGAATCGACGTTGAAAAGGCATGGCTATGGAATGATTTACATTATCGTAGTACTATCAGAGAGCAAACATTTCGTATTGCTAATAGTCCAATCGGCAGATTATGCAACTAGTGGTGTAAAGTGGCACAGACTTTCTCGTATTACTTTTCTTTTTTCTTTAGTCTAGACTAGCTATTCGGATACTATCCACATACTTTGCAATCTATTGCCGCCCAAACTAATTTTTTAAATGTTCTCAATTTTTTCAGTTTACTAATAAAATAACAGAAATATTACTTTAAGAGTATTAAAGAAGAGTAAAAAGTTGTTCCAAGTGGTAATTTTCATAGTTAAAATATTGGACGTTTAAAGAAAATGTCGTTCAAGTGCTATGTACAATCAAATTTGAAGCTCTTCACAGGGAAACTTTTGTGTTTTCGAAGAACTTCATTAAAAGCCATTTAAAGCACTTTAAACTTACAAATGCAATGGTGTTTACAATTGCCGGAAATTGTGAATATTAACGCGCGTGCGAGATTCTTCAAAATAATTACATTTGTAGAACTTTTGAAAAATCAAAAGAATACTCCAAATGAAACTTTGTCATATTAAAAAGTGCAATTGGCAATATCCGTTAGAAAAGTTTGAAGAAACATTTGGAGTAATTTTGTGAAAATGGGGCTTGAGCTCTCTGAAAATGCGAAATTTAGAGCTAATTTTCACAGAACAAATAGATATTCGACGAATTTTATATGACATTATTTAAAGCATGTAAGTCTCATAAATAAATAAATATGGCCAAATTACCGCTAATGTTAATATTCACAACCTGAGAGATTAGTAAATAGTTTAATTTCTATAATTTTTGGAAAAAGAACAATAATGGAGCAATATGTCGTTGACGCCATATTTTCGGACTACACGAGTATTTATAAAAAATACCTACAAGAACTGCAAAGAAACACTTTGGAGCAGTGTTCGAGAAAATCAGTTTTTTAATATTGCACATTGAAAAACATAAAATTGAGCATATGGCGTTTATGTCATCTTATTGAATGCAATTAGAACTAACTATACCAAAAGTTTAAAAAAATATGGAGCCGTTTTGAGAAGCATCTTTTATATTTGTTGTTTTTTTTAAATTGAAAATATTGCGCAATAACTTCTATAATGTTAAAAATGTACAAGACCATAATGAAAAGAACTCACTATTTTAATAATATTTTATTTTTGCAATTGTTTGAGTTATCAAACTTTGGCAAAAATGCATACAATTTTTTTAATAACATGAAGAGTCCCATTGACCGTATCCTAATATTACTTTTTTTTCAGATTAAACACTCTAACATATTTATACACTTAAATACTAAAATATAAATTAACATATATAAATTAAAACAGAAAATAATAAAACAATTTATAGTCAAATTCAGTCTATCTATGTATATTCTTTAGTCGTCTGTAGTCGTCACTATGTCTAGTAAGTTAATAGCAAGAATATTTTGATGTTATGTAGTCGTTGTAAGTATTTTTGCGCTGTCTCTTGTATTCTTCTTTTATTGTTGCATTTGTAAGTCTGGTGTATTGTGGCGTTCGTTACGTACCAAGGAGCATTTACAAATTTTCTTAAGCTTTTAATTGAGCGTTGTAATATTTCATAATTTGAATTTTGCTGCCCAAAGTTGTATTCCATATGTCCAAACAGGTTTATTAATGCTTTATCCAGAAGAATTTTGTTTTGCGATGCTTAAGGATGAGTTTTTTCCTAATAGCCAGTTTATCTGATAATTTTATCTAATTCTTTTCTTATTCTTTATATGTGTTTTCCATGTAAGTCTTCTGTCCAGTGTAATTCCAAGATATTTGCTGAGTCGTTTTGAGGATAGATTTGTATCCGATTTTTTAGGAGGGATGTTCATCTCAGATGAAGGTAACTTGGGCAGACTTCTTGTCATTTGTCTTGAGGCCAGCGTTTCTGCCACTCTGATGATTAGATTTCTTCTACGAACGTGATGCTTCTGCTGGATCTTTGTGTCGAGCTAAGATGGCTGTGCATCGCGTAGGTGCTGGTCAATGCGTTTTCTGATGTTGGAATCGGCAGTGTATAATAGTAAAGAATGCAAGCACACTTCTTTGAGGAACGCCCGAATTTATAGGGATATGTTCTGTAGTTATTCCACTGTTAAATTTTATGTGGAAAATATCTCTCCGTGAGGGTACGATTTGTAAGAGATAGTAAGATATGGTAAGTTATATGCTTGAATTTTATACAAGAAATCTGGGTGCAGACCTTATCGAAAGCCTGGCTTATGTCGAGAAATACGGCCAGAGCAATATTTTTTATTTCTAGCGATTCACTAATCTTCGATTTTACTATTCGATGGATTGTTCATAGTCGAATTGCCTTTAGTTCTGAACCCAAATTGATGATGGGTATTATTTAGTCTTTTTGCTTAGAAGTGGATTTCAAACGTGACAGAAGTAGTTTCCAAAAACTTTGGGTAGTGCTTGGTATAGAATACTTAATAGGTCTGTATGATACTACTTCGTCGCATTGGTTTGCCCGGTTAGGGATGACTTTACTGGCTATATTTCATTGCTCAGGGAAGTGGTCCTAATCTTAGAATGGCAGTGAAATGGAAATAATAGGCTATCAATTTGTCTTTGTAGATGGCCGTAGAAGTGTTATAGAAATGGCATATCAATATCGGGTGCTTTTCTTGTTGGTAAATTTTTGAATTAATGTTTCAACTGTTCTCGATAGCACATACGGGTTGATTTGGGGAGCTATTGCAACCGGTGAATCTAGGAAGTTGTAAATTTCTCCTCTTCTGTGCAGATATTTGTGAGGAAATGTTGAAAGACCGATAGAGAAATGGACGGCAAAGCAATTCCGTGTTCTTGCGTCGTTTTAGCCCATGTAACAGTAGTTTTTCTGATCGGGAGGAATAGTTGTTTGGTTCCTCTTTCCAAAGCTTTTGTGGTTTTTCCAAAGAGAGTATCTGAATTTGAATTTTGGAGTCAGTCTTATAAGTTTTATCTTGAGAGCCGTTGTTCGGTGTTCTTGCGAAGTAATCTTTTCAGGTTTTGGTGAAGCAGAAATTTAGTCTTCTTTAGTTGCTGGTCTTTTAAGACTCACTATGAGATAACAAATTTTATTTGAAGGAAAAATCTTTGTAGGAACACTGAAAAAATTCATGCTTTTGAAATTTTAGAAAATTCAGAATTAACCTTGAAAATTGAATCCATGCCACTTTTATATGTGTGTGTGTTATTCTATTCTTACAAGAAATTTAAAGAAAAAAATTTGGAGCCGTTTTTGAGAAAATATTGAAAATGTCCGGAGGGCTTTATGAAAAGTACCCCCAAATTTTGAAGAATGTTTTTCAAAATCTCAAAGTTTCGACTCGAGCCAGATAAACAGTGTTTTTTTTCAATTTGGAAAAAATCCTACGTATGGTTTTGGTGGTAATTGTATTCACAGACACCAGACGGGCGGACAGATAGTAAGATGGACGGCCAGACGGTCGGACGGACCGACGGACGGTTTTAAAAAAAAACACTTTTTTGGGAACCCGAACGTGTATTTCCGTTGAAATATCGAAATCAATTTTCCGTAGCATTACAGAATTTTCTCTATAGTACGTGTATTACTCCGTATATACGTACGGATACGGGAAAGTAAAAGTGGAAAAACTAGCAGTGTGACGTAGTTTTATCTGACGTCAGGTTTTGAAAGAAATTATTTTGGCAAAGTTCTAACTGCAAACTGCTATATTTATCCTGTGCTGATCTTTAATCTTGAAAATGTAAATCTATGCACTAATACCAATATTAATTTCTTTCTACTCAAAAAAATTGGATGAATACTATAAAACGTAATATTACACTGTTACTCAGAAAGTGTATGGTGCCATTTGGCTTGAGGTGATGGCAGGGCTAACAAGTAATGATGTAGTGAGAGATGAATACTAGATGTTATCGAAGAGTATTATTGTAGTGAATTACTATCTTGGTCAGATTCATGCGGTACTCAGAATCGAAATTCCATAATGTCGAATGCTAAGTTGGATTTGTAAGAGAGAACCCTAATGTCACATTAAATGACCTTAAAATATTCTGTGCCAGAACACTCATGCGTATAGAGTAGCCCTCAGGTGCATAGCGTAGTAAAGAAAGCAGTAGATAAGATGCATTTTTATTCACTTCTTGGAATAGTAAGATTGATGAACCAAATTAACCGACGGAATCCTCATAGAGTAATGAGGAAGCAAGAGAAGGACTTCAAAGATTTCCCAGTAATATTAAAATTGTTGAAATTCAAGACCATATAATTCATTTAGCTAACATGGCATAAATTAGGCCAGATGGTAAAGTAAGTTAGGTCTAGCACTCACAAGAACCTCCTCAATGTGAAAACGACTAAAGTTTTCAAAAAAATGTACATGACAATATTGAAAGAACTAAATAAGGAGAATAAACTTTATTTGAAGGAAACATCTGTCTTCAAATTTGTAGTAACAGGAGGGCGCGAAAAAAATTCGATATTTTCCAATTATCGAATTTACAGAGTTAACAGTGGAAATCGGACCTATGTCACCTTCAAAAGTGTTCTCTACTCTACGAGCCGTTTTTGAGAAAATTTTGAAAATGACCGGTGGGCCTCATGTAAAGTACACCTCAATTTTAAAGGAAGTTTTTCAAAATCGCGATGCCTCAACTGGAGTCAGAACGACTGAGGAATATCAAGTTTGGAAAAAAGCGCACTAATGGTTTAGGCGCTAGTGGTGTTCGTAGACTGTCAGACAAACTGACGGACGGACGTTTTGAAAAGAAACACTTTTTCGGTATCAGGGGACCCCAAAAGAATTGTGGAGATGGCATTAATGTAATAAACATGTGTACTGAACGTTTGCAACGAATATCATATTTAAGACGAAATCCATTTAGAAACCAAACTATCCAAAAATGTTTACTGAAGACGAAAAATTAGTCTTTCCAAGGCAACGTGACCAAATTAGTAATTTCAGATTTCCTGTTGATGAACTCGATTTCAGATTTATTGCTAAGTATTACTTACCAATTGGGTGGAAGAACTGTTTCTGTTTTCGAACATTAGCTCCCACGGCAAGAATGTATGAAAGTATTTTTTATACATCCACCGTTACCGATAAAAATGAATAATAAAAATTGAATTTCATCTATTGAAGTTATCTTCGTGTTTGTAGTGCATTTACAATCATTTTTGTACATGACAACCTAGGAACACGTGGATCCAGTGCAAGATCTCAGTGATCTTATGTTCGAAAACACTGCGTGGTCTCAAGTAGCCCACAGTAACTTGAACTTAACTTTCAAAAACATTATTTGCCATTATTGTTAAAAATATCTGATCAAACGACTATCGAGCATTTTACAATAAACCTGTAGATCTATAGAAAAAAAGTACAAAATTTTTTTTAGTGTTTCATGGATTACTACATGGATAGTGGATTACTAAAGGAAATACTACGAAAGTATTGACAAACTGGGTCCAAGTAGCCCGTGTTTACAGTACTTAAATATTTTGACAATATAGTTTGTAAATAAGTATTTAAATACATATTCAAAGTACAATATGTTCTAATTTGATAAATATATGTATGTGTAAAAGACGTGAAATATTCAAAATACAATAAATATAATTGTATTATTTATATTTTACTGCAACAATATTCGAGTATTATAGTTGTCATTAACAATAAATGAGTAATTGACAGCCTCATCAATTTTTGAACAATAACTGTTATATATATATATATATATATATATATATATATATATATATGTATGTATGTGTGTGTGTGTGTGTGTGTGTGTGTGTGTGTGTGTGTGTATGAAGTGTTTCTTGCGAGAACAAAACTAGTTCAAATGCGACATTTTTCAGGAAACACCAAACACTTCTTAGCGTAGACGTGCGTAGTACTAAATTCCGAGTAAAATGTTGCATCGCCGACAATTGAAACTGTTTTAAAATAGTTTAATGTGTTGAAAATGTCTTTCAGGTCTAGTTTTGTTCAAATATGTTCTTTCAGTATTGCGCATTGAAATTACCAATGAATCGTAATTGCCTACACTCCCGTTCAAAGTTCCCAATTGTCTTGTATGTTACCTCCATACGGGATATGAACTGGTCTTATTGCAATTTCAAAATTATAATCGCTGTAACAAATACTTGCAGGTTTTGATGCCGCCGATAGTTAAATTTTAGTACAGGTACATTTTTACGCTGCTTCACTAATATGCACAAAAATGCTCTTAGCACATTCGTATTAGCACAAATGCAAATATGCAAATCATTCCCAATTAATTCTGCAAATTCAGTCGCAACCTGTTTTACAACTACATTTTATTCTTCCCTGGATTTCCTAAGGTACCATGGTGAGGTTTTGATTTCTGATGCTGTAGACAGATTTTCTAAACGGTTTCATAATGGCTTATACACATGGTAGAGCTTTTGTGCAAATTGGTAGCAAAGCGGCAAAGCAAACGTGCAATTCAGACTGCTCGATTTTTATAAGAAAACGTTTGTTCATGTTAGTAAATCCTGCGTTCCATTTTTCTTCCTTATGCTCATCATAGGTAATAGTTAATAAAGATCACAACGAAAATGCCAGAAATACCGCCAATGAAAGTACTCTGACACGCAATTCAGTGGATAGCCAGTAGACCCCAAGCGGTGTCATGAGGCGTTTCACACAGAATTACTACAGAAAACATACACAGCATATACGAGCGATTTTTGGATTTTAACTTGTATTTTGGTATCTTTAAGTTACTATACAGAAAGTACCAGAATGGAGAATGTACTGGAATACTATCCTGTATAATGCCTGTTTAAACGTTACAATTTCTTCCTTGTATTTGGGATCATCTTATATAAAGAGAAACAATTGTAATCTATGAAGGCCGTTGAGTAAACAGTCAGGATAAACGAAAAACAGATGTCAAGGCATCATCCGGAAGTACACTTTGTTTGGTCGCTGTCTGCATAGGAGGCGGCAGGGAGGGAGCTGCCCGCGGGGCTGTCGCATTACCGAGCAGGAGGCCCGACGCCGCCCCCGCCCCCCCCGAGCCCGCGCGCGCGCCGCTCCCCGCCCCGGCGCTCCCCGCCGCCGCCGCTGCTGGTGCGCAGCGAGCCGCCCGTTCGCGCAGGCCCTGGAGGGTCGGACCGCGCCCGCGCCCTCTCGCCGCCCCGCGCCGCCCCGGCCCCCCTCCACACGGCCCATTCCGCCGCCTCCGCGTCGGAGGACCCGCAGCGGCCAGCTAGACAGCCCCGATAGCTTCACGCGACCGCCACCGCAGCTAGCCCAGGCCGCCCGTCCTGGCGCGGAGGAGGCCGACACAGGCGCGCCTGGCCACCACCCGCCGCTCGGCGCGCGCACGCGCCGCGCCACCCTCCTCCGCGTCGGACGTCGGATAGCACCAGCAGCAAGAGAGAGGTTCTCCGCCGCCGCCTCCGCCGCTGCGCAGATGCCCGTTCCCTGGCGCCAGAGGGACGCGCGTCCAAGCGCCGTCGCCCACCCGGCCGCGCCCCACGCCGCCCACGAGCCCCATCTCTTCTGAGCCGCAAACCCTCCACCCTCCTCCGCGTGGAGGACGGAGCACAAGCGCAGAAATGAGGTCTCCGCCACCGCCCTCCCGCCGCTGCCAGATGGGCCCGCTCCCTGGCGCAGAGGACCGCGGCCAAGCGCCGTCGCCCACCCGCCGCCCGCGGCCGCCCACGGTCCCATCTCTTCTTGAGCCCCGCAACCCTCCAGCCTCCACCGCGTTGGAGACGGAGCACAAGCAGCAAATTGAGGTCTCCGCGGCCGCCTTCCCGCTGCGCAGATGCCGTCCCTGGCGCAGAGGACCGCGGCAAGGCGCCGTCGCCACCCGCGCCCGCGCCGCCCACGGCCATCTCTTCTGAGCCGCAACCCGTCCACCCTCCACCGCGTTGGAGGACGAGCACCAGCAGCAAATGAGGTCTCGCCTGCCGCCCTCCGCCGCTGCGTCAGATGCCCGTCCCTGGCACAGAGACCGCGGCCAAAGCCGCCCGTCGGCCCCACCCGCCGCCGCGCCGCCCGAGCCCCAGGTGGACGCCAGAGGTCGACCCGCAGGGCTGGCCCCCGCCGCCTTTCCCGGCTCTCCCCGGTCCGACGCCCTCATTGGAACATCCACCGCGGCTGGCACGCCCCCTTCCGCCTCCCCGAAACGCCGCCCGCCCCCAGCAGTCCGAGGCTCAGGGGGAGGGACGAGCGAAACGAGCAGTGAGGAGCGAGAGAGAGAGGTCCCGCACTGCCCGGCCCTTCCCGTCCGGCCTCCGCGCTCCTCCTCGGCCGCCTTCGGCATACCTACTCCGCGCCATCGCGGCCGAGAGCTCTGCGGCCGCCCGCGCACAGAGCGGCCAGGCCCGAACGCGCGCCAGCAGCAGGAGGTACACGGCCATCCCTGCTCTCCCACGGGACCCATTGCCAGGCGCAGGCGCCCTTCCGCGCCGCATGCCGTCCCGGCGCCCTTCCCACCCTTGCGCGCCCGCGTCGCTAGCTCGTATTGGGCCAGGCTCAGCTCTCCGTACATCCTCACTCGCCTCTGCCCCTCCGCTCCACACTCAGCACCACTCCGATGCTGGAAAACACCCAATCACACCACGGCCCCACGCCCTCGTGCATCCTCACTCCACTCCTAGCCCCTCAGTTCCCTACAGGACCACTTCTGCCTGCCGCGAGCCACCATCGAGCGACTGCGCCCACGCCCTCGAGTAAATCGCTCACTCGCCCGTCCCTCAGTCCACCCGTACGAGGGCCACTCCTTCTGCAGGAAGCCCCAAATCGACACTGCGGAATCCCAATGCCCTCCCCTACATCCTCAAATCGCCCCTACCTTCAGCCCCCTACAGGCGGCCACTCCTCCTGCCGGCAGCCCCATTCGACACCGCGCGCCCCACGCTCAGTGCATCTTCCACTCGGCCCGACCCCTCGTCCTTCCTTCAGGGGTACCACTACCTCCTCCGTGAAGCCCCAGTCGGACACTGCGGCCCAACGCCTCCAATGTTACATCCTTTTCTCGCCCGTTCCTTCATGCCTCCACCCCTAAACAAAAAGGGGCCACTCCTCCTGCGGCAGCCCATCAACGCGCGCGGGCCCCACGCCCCTCCAGTGCATCTTCACTCGCCCCGACCCTCGGTCCTCCTTCAGGACACTCCTCCTGCCGGAAGCCCATTCAACACTGAGGCCCCCACGCCCTCATACATCCTCACTCGCCCGTTCCCCTCAGGTCCACCCTACAGTGGCCCTCCTCCTGCGGAAGCCTTCATCAACACCGCGGACCGAGCGCCCTTCCCCATAGTCGATCCTCAGTCGCTCCTCCCCTAGTCCCCCTTACAGACACTCCTCCTGCCGAAGCCCCATCAACACTGCGAACCCCCAACGCCCTCAGTACATACCTCACTCGCCCGTCCCCGCTCAGTCCACCCTACAGAACACTTCCTCGCTGCCTGGCGAGCCCCAGCAAACACCGCGGCCCAAACTGCCCTCATACATCCTCCACTCGCCCCGTCCCTCTCGTCCACGCCTACAGGCCACTCACTCCTGCCGGAAAGCCTTCTGACACTGGCGCGCGCGAGCGCGCTCAGGTTACATCCTTTCTCGCCGTTCCTTACAGTCCACCTACGAGGGCCACTCCTCCTTTGCCGGCAGCCCAGCAACACCGCGGGGCCCAAAGCCCGTGCGATCATCCTCACTCGCCCATCCCCCTCAGTCCCAACCCTAAGCAGGGCCACTCCTCCTTGCCGGAGCCTATCGACCCACTTGCGGCCCAGAGCAGCCTCAGTACATCCTTTTCTCGCCCGTTCTCCAGTCCAACCCTTACAGGGCCACTCCTCCTGCCGGAAGCCCCTATCAGCACTGCGATCCCAACGCCCTCAGTACATCCTCACTCGCCCTCCCCTCCAGTCCCCCTACAGAACCACTCCTCCTGCGGCAACCCAAGCAACACCGACGGCCACTCCAACGCCCTCATACATCCTCACTCGCCCGTCCCCTCAGTCCACCCTACAGGGCCACTCCTCCTGCCGGAAACCCCATCAACACTCCGGCCCAACGCTCTCAGTACATCTTCACTCGCCCGTCTCCTCAGTCCACCCTACAGGGCCACTCCTCCTTCCGGAAGCCTCTTCAACACTGCGGCCCCACGCCGTCAGTACATCCTCACTCTCTCCTCCCCTCAGTCCACCCTACAGGGCCACTCCTCCTGCCGGAAGCCTCATCAACACCGCGGCCGAGCGCCCTCAGTACATCCTCAGTCGCTCCTCCCCTCAGTCCCCCTACATGGCCACTCCTCCTGCCGGAAGCCCCATCAACACTGCGGCCCAACGCTCTCAGTACATCTTCACTCGCCCGTCCCCTCAGTCCACCCTACAGGGCCACTCCTCCTGCCGGAAGCCTCTTCAACACTGCGGCCCAACGCCCTCAGTACATCCTCACTCGCTCCTCCCCTCAGTCCGCACTTCAGCACCATCCTGCCCGCCCAATTGCCGCTCCAGACCCATCACCATTGCTACGAATGAAGACTCAAAACACGAAAGCAGACATGAGGGTCCCAGGGCTTGTTCTAGTGTCCGATTTCACAGTCAAAGTAAAGTCTTTACGCCTTCCTATTACATGGCGTTAGAGACCTATCTAATTTCTTTTTAAGGTCTCAGAACGCTTCGTATGGGTGTTATTTAACTATATAGTTGACTGAGTTTTTTCATATATATCCTTTATATTTTTAAATTCAAAGTACAATTCAACACGCCTGCGTAGAATTCTCTTTCTTTAGAAACCTCTTTTATATAGATTGGTTACCTGTGAGAGCCGCACAAGTTATCTCTACCTCATAAATAATATAGGAGACGAAAATAATAAGTATAAAATATATTTGAATAAATAAAATTATAAATATCTGTGAAATATAAGGATATACAAAATTCATTTTGCGTGTTCCATTTCACGAACCTTGCGCGCGGGAGTGGAGAGACGGGTCCAGCACGTTGTTCTCTCATCAGCATAATCACAACCCACAGAAGTGGCACAGTGTAGGTGGATCGTAAGTGTTTTCAGTTTGGAAGTAGATTTGCTGAACCCACTTCGCGGCGAATGCAGCTGTTAGAAGTTGCCGTTTAGCGGGGAGGCTGTCCTGGGTGCAGATTCTAGCTGCGCGGAAGGCGATGGTTTTAAGAACGCCGTCCTTCGTCGTTGGCTAATGGTGAGGTGCGGCATGATGATAGCGATTTGTGTGCGTGGGTTTTCTGTTAACTCCGTTGCCAGTCATTTCTCCTCCTCACCAAGGCGTCCAGAGAAGGCCTTTCTTCTCTTATCTCCGCAGTGAATTTTATTTTCTGGTGAGCGCTGTTTAGATGGCCCAAGAATTCCTGAAGAGCAGCTGATACCATATCACAAAGGTGTTATCGACGTATCTTATCCACATTGTAGGTTTGAGGTGAGAGTTGTCCAGGACCTCGGTTTCGAATGCCTCCATGAAGAGATTGGCGGCAATACGAGGAAGACAGGCTGAGCCCATAGCAGCGTCTTCCACCTGGACATAGAACTTCCCCAGACATCGGACGAAGGTAGACGCCAGGCACAATTGCGCGAGGTCGGCCCACTGAATAAGGATCCCCCGTGAATTCAATTTTCTTCTGATATCTGCTGCCTCTTCATCCGAGACCATGGTGAAAAGCGACGTAACGTCAAAGCTGGCAAGGCTGACTGTGCTCTCCAGGCGACTGGTTTAGCAACTCGATGAAGCGGCAGGAGATCGGACGCGATATCTTCGGACAAGGGGCGAAGCGTCTAGGCCATGTAAGGGGACAGTGGCTGTGTGGGCGAATTCACAGCACTCACAATGGGGCGAAGAGGAACCTCTGCCTTGTGTTCTCAGGGTAGCCCGTAGGGCCGCAGGGTAGCGCTGTGGCTACTTTTAGCTTAGGCTTTATTTCAGGCTCAATGCTGGATGAATTGTTCACCTTGCAGCGACTTTCGCCTTTTGTTTTCCGAAGCGGTTGCGCGGCCTCGTCCTCGCGCAGGGTTGCCACTTTGCTGTGGAATTCTCCCGTACGCGTGATGGCGGTCGCGTTGCCTTTGTCAGGTGGAAAATCACGTCATCATTACGAGTGCTCGGCAAGCGGATAGAAAAGATAACGCCTTGCCCGTCCTCACCGTAGGCTGCAACTGAACCTCCACATTTGACGTCACCGCTGGAATTGAGTGCGGCGCCGCCCGCATCCTAACGCGGGCGACGCCTCCTCGGAGGACCCTATCCCGAGAAGAGCAGCTTGGCGTGCGCTCCTTGCGCCGACGCGAGTCTTCCAGCTGACAAAGGCAACGCGGCCGCCATCAGCGCAGACAACAAAGTGGCAACCGCGCTCGAGGACGAGGCCTGCGCACTGCTGCGGCGCAACCCTTTGCGAACACTCAGGGGAGGCGCCGCGAAACTTGTTGCCTCGCAATCACACCTCGCTTTTTTTAAACCCTTTCAATATTCAACTATTTATAGTTAAAATGTTGTAAAGAGACAAAGCTCAAGTACACGAACACAGACGGTAC